ATGTGAAGGTCAGTATTTTTACTCCAGCTGAGATCAGAAGCAGTAGTACTTAAACACAAGGACAGCTGTTCTTAGTATTTCTTATCTGGTCAGGAGCACTGGGAATCTCATACCAGCCTGTCCTCATGGAATTTCCAATCCAATTTTATAGGCCCCAGTGTTTCGGATAATTCTCATTACAGCTCATTGAGCAGTTAAAATATTATAAATAAATCATCACCACAATACACAGATTCACATCGTTAGTCACAAATATCTGTACAGCTGCCAAGTATCGTTGAAAACATTTGTTAATCTGGAAAGTTTCACAATTTTTAGCATGAAGATAAATTGGCTGAAGATTTCAACTATAAATGCTTTATTTACTGATCTTGTCTTTAAACTATTTCAGGCCAAGTAGAAACAATGCTGTAATGACCTCTTTAGAGAAAATAGTTCATAATCAAGGCACATGATTACAAAAAACTCCATCTCAAAATTATTTGTCCAGAGTACAGATTAAAAACATATGAACTCATTATTGCCCCCAAAAAAATAAGGATCCGTTCACAAAAAAAATCATCTACAAAAGGGATGCTCGGTTAAGAATAAAATATGTTTTATAATAAATAGGCCACTCAAGTCTGATCCTGGTAACCTTCTAAACAGAGTCTGAAGGTCCAAATCTTGATGTCTTTATTCAGGGCCAGATTCTGACCTCTTTTTCACACTAACACCCTACTTCATAAGTCATTTAATTTATTTCTGTAGGGATTACTCACTGAGTAAGGCGCTAATCAACATCTGGCAATTAGAATATATCCCTCAGTTGAGACCCTATTATAACAATCTTCCATGCACTGCACCCAGAACTTTGCTGATGACTAGTTTAAACCAGGAGCTTCAGGGGGTAGCCAAGTTAGTCTGTTACAGAAAAAAACAACAAATGGTCTGGTAGCACATTATAGACTAACAAAACATGTAGATGGTATTATGAGCTTTCGTGGGCATGGCCCACTTTGGTCATTTGAAGAAGTGAGCTGTGTCTACAAAAGCTCGTGTGATACCATCTACATGTTTTGTTAGTCTATAATGTGCTACCAGACCATTTGTTGTTTTTTAGTTTAAACCAGAATGAATTCTTCTTGTCATTGCTCAGTCATTGCACTCTGGCTTCAACTTGTTCCTCTTCCAGATCCTCAGCTGGTGTAAATTAGTATTGATGGTGCTATGCCAATTTACACGGTAACATACAATCCTTTCAAATCCTTTATATATTGCATACCATCTTCCCTGCTAAGGACGAAATCATCATCGTTTGAGCATACCCATGATTCCTACCAGTTGATCCCTAGTTCAGGGTCAAGATTTTAATTCTTTGTCTGTCAAATTCAGGACAATCTCTGTCCTACATAGCCTCATCTTTGTCAGACTTTTTGTAGAAAGAGATGCTCAGAGGTCCAAGTAATGAAACGGTTGGTGTTTACGAGCTAATATTCATGTTTCCTTTACAGATCTGGATCAACCAAATGGGATCCTCATTTCCCAGCTTTGCTACTAGAGGAAAATATCATTGCACTGCCCTCAGAATGTTTATTTCCCTCCATGATCTTGATCACTTTATTAAGACTGTTTTGCTGCAAGACATGTAACTACAGGGACTTTCAGCCAGCCTCAGATTCTGCTTTATCTTACTAAGCACACCAGCTGCCAACTGTCACATTTTTTTCTGGCCAGTGAGTTGCTCTGGGGGTTCTACTGCTGCTACTTCTGCTCTTCCCTGGTTAGAACACATGCAGGGTATGTCTACACTACCCTGCTAGTTCGAACTAGTGGGGTAATGTAGGCATACCGCACTTGCAAATGAAGCCCGGGATTTGAATTTCCTGGGCTTCATTTGCATAAGCCGGACGCCGCCATTTTTAAAAACTTTTGCGCAAAAGGGCCAGTGTAGACAGCTGAGATTTGTTTTCCGCAAAAAAGCCCCGATCGCGAAAATGGTAAAAGCGTCTGTGCCAATCTAGATGCTCTGTTCTGAAAATGCTTTTAACGGAAAACTTTTCAGTTAAAAGCATTTCCGGAAAATCATGCCAGTCTAGATGTAGCCCCTGTGTTCAGGAGAGAGCCTGGGCCACAGCAGTGTCTGGCTCCTATCTGTAGGATGTGCAAAGGAAGAAAGGCTGAGCTGAGATTATCCAAGGAGCCTCAAGTAACTAGGTGCCAACTGCCATTTGCTTTCAATGGGAGTTGGGCATCTAAATCTCTTAATTCTTTGGAAATCCCAACCAAGGTCCTAGCACTGATTTTCTCCACCCTGACTTCTGCACACCCACCTCAAATCCAAGCACAAAATAAAAAAATAATTCAAACTATTTTTTAAAGCAAACAGAAATCTATTCTGAAACCAGGAAAAAATTCATAACACTGAATTGGATTATGTAATATTCTCCCAAAGGAAATAGGGGAAGCCTAATTAATTTCTAGAGTAATTTAAAACAAGACTATACAAAAAATGCAATAATAATATACCACAGAAAAAAATTCTGCACTGGCCAGAGATGGAGTAGATGACCTAATAGGTCTTTTCCATCTCCCCTTTCTATTATTTTGCGATTTATTACTGCAGAAGGATAGCACTTCAGAGACAAGTCAACAGTGCCTGTTAATGATGCGTGGATTACTCCCTCCCATCTTCATGCTGTAGATCCGTGCACACCCATATTGCAGTTATGTCATGAGATTACCATTTGGTAGAGGAAAGGCGTGTTCAGAGAAAATAAGAATTCTGCATTTGCATTTAACCTTTTACATTCAAAGAAGAAATGTTAACCTGGGAGGATAAGATTACTTCATAAAAACACATTAATTTACCGCACCAATATTTTTCCTTAAAAACAACAAAGGAAATTTTAAATAAAAATTCATAGGAGAAGTTTACTCTAAAAGAGGTCTGAGGAAGCTCCTTTGTGGGTTTACGAGGATAAAGTTTCATCAATATAAAGAACAGAATCTGACATTTAGTTGCCAAATTCCTTAAGTGCACTAAATACCGGTGATAAAACTAGTTGATACTGCATTGCAGGAAAACTCAAGCTCTACTGTTCAAGTTTATCTTAGCCCAGATTAAAATGAAAGCCAGAAAATGACAGACTAAAATAAAGTACTTAAATACATTGACTGAATTACTGCCTATGGAACACACTGATTCTTAGAAACAAGAGTAGGCTTTGGACCATTTTTACTGAGAGGCACTACTGCCTATGGAACACACTGATTCTTAGAAACAACAGTAGGCTTTGGACCATTTTTACTGAGAGGCACTACTTAAATACACTAAACCCCAGGTCCACAAAAGGACTAAAAATCATAATGAACAGGATTAAATCATAGTACAGGTTGACTTCCCTGGTCCAGCACCCTTGGGACCTGACTGGTCCTGGATGAAGGATTTTGCCAGAATAAAGGAGGTCATTTCTGGCCCCTCTGCTGCTGGCCCCACCCTCTGCCCTGCCGCCCCACCAGGCTTCCCGGCTCCCCAGCAGTGCAGCTGGGTCACGCTTTGGGCTTCCTGACCCCTTCTGTCCATCCCCAAGGCCAGCTGGGCCATGCACTGACCTTCCTAGCTCCCCCCCATCCCAACTGAGCCACATGATGGACTCTCTGGTTCCCCCGGACAGTCCAGTTGGGTTGCGTGCACCAGTTTCCCCCACCTCTGCTGCCCAGCTGAGACACATACTGGGCTCTCACCCCCCTTCCTCATATTGGGTTGGGCTCCTCCCTCCCCCACTGTATCGTGCCAGGCTTCTGCGCTCCTTCACCTCCCACAGTGTTCTGGGACTCTCTGATCCTGAAACATTCATGGTCCTGCCAAACCACAGATGTTGTTGGACCAGAGAGTCCTGGTTTATAGAGGTGCAACCTGTAATACCAAATATCATTGTTTGGGAAAAGTCCAGTTTCTAGAAATGGTCCTGTTAAGACTGGTTCGAAAAGGGCTTTTCCATCATTCTGAATTACTTGTTCTTACTGATAATATGTATGAACCTAAAAAGGTTCAGATCAGGATTGACACCTGAAACAAAACACTGAAAAACCTTCAGAGGGGTAGCTGAGTTACTCTGTAACTGGAAAAAACTTAAAAAACAACGAATAGTCTAGTAGCACTTTAAAGACTAACAAAACATGTAGATGGTATCATGAGCTTTTGTGGGCAAAACCCACTTCTTCAGATGACCGGAGTATTAAAACTAAGGTGCTACTGAAATACCAGTCTCTGTGAAAATTGTTAAACTCTGAAAAAAAAATAGGGTCAAAATCTAAGACTAACTTCTTGTTCAAGGGCTTACTTTGGATAAGGGAAACTGCTTATCCAACTTTCAAGAACCTTCGTGTTTCATAGATTTTGCATCACCAGTTCTCTTCAAATACTTGGAGGCCAAGGACCAATGCATTTAATTATTTTTCAAGCTTTCTCCCATGTGCAACAACAAAGATTTTTTCCCAATATTCTTCTTCTACGTTAATGAGTTTTGGCCTGCAGCATTGGCTACATTCCAGGCACAAATTGTCTTCTAATATCTGGGTTACCACATGGAAAAGTTACCTCAACCCTTCAGTTATTTCTGCACCATAAATCTCTAATACAGCTTTAGGCTAGTAAGATCTGTATTCATTACCATCTGAAAATTGGCTAAATATTTTTTCTACCAAATATGTCTTGGATCTCTATCTCATTCAGTCATGTTTTAAAACATTTGCAGGTAAAAGATCCAAAAAACAAATGTGATAGACGGGCAAAATATTAGCTATGTTCTATGACAGTAAATTTGAATATGCTTTTATTGCTATATTTAGCTTATTTTTGAAAATGTTCTTTTTTACACTGGTGAAGATTAATTGGTGGAAGATTATCACCTATGAAAGGAAGTGTGGCATAATTTTTTATTGCGTGACTGTTCACTCTTT